TTTGGTCTCAATGTCTCCTTCCTTCCCTCGTTATAAGGAAGGCACAGGCGGGCGCGGGCAAATCGAGCCTGGGCCTCCTGTGGTATAGGTAGTGCCAATGGACCTATTCCCTAATGAACACAATTTTGATCTAGACAAGTCAGACAAAAATTTCATCACAGCTTGAAAGAGCATCACAAAATTAGTAATATTCCGAAGTTTCGTTGCGAAATGTTGTAAAATGCGAATAATATAGCCCTGCGAAGTTTGCCGTTTTTCAGTCATTTTGTATTACGCACGGGAAATTGATAACGCTTTCTGAAAAAAGGTATCAATTTCCTGCACGTAATACAAAATGACTGAAAAACGGCAAACTTCGCAGGGCTATACTATCCGCATTTTACAACATTTTGCAACGAAACTTTGGAATATTACTAATTTTGTGATGCTCTTTCAAGCTGTGATGAAATGCTTGTCTAGATCAAATTTTTTTTGTTCATTAGGGAATAGGTCCATTAGAAAGCTGTGGATCTTTGTCGTTTAGAGCAAAGGAGAACTTTGTCGTTTGGCTACTACTTTCCCGACGGAATGCTCAAAACGTTAAAGTTCTCCTTGTATATTTCAGGTAGTTGTATCCCTATCAATCCAAAGCTTTCATAACAAATAACTCATTCTATCTGTAACTGTTCATTTTTATATGCATAACTGTCGCACTTACATCGTCATATTTTCTCATAGATTGCATGAATTCCAAATGTTGTTTCTCTTCCTCTAACTGAGCGACTTTCTGTTCGCTTTCTTGGAATTTCTGTTGAGTTACCGAGAGTTCCTCCCGTAGCCAGGCATTCTCCTGGCACAGTCGGCGTACTTGAGCCTTGAGCTTCTGTTTCTCCGCCTCGACAGTGCTCAGGTGACTGCCTAATGCCATCATAACCTGGAATAATGATTTGACATGTGGGTGAATCAATTTTTGGCAGGACTTGAAATTAGGGGTGCCCCGGAATCAATTTTTTAAGTTCCAACCGGAACCAGATCTGAAAAAAAAGTTGCGGCAGGAACTTCCGGCTGGAACCGATTCATTAAGTGATATATGGTCATATGTTACTTTGTCTTCCGACCATGGTTTTCATTAATTCCAGTCTGAACCGGAACTCTGAACAATTGGGGTTTCCAGCCGGAACTAACCGGCTGGAACCGAGTTCCGGTGCACCCATACTTGAAATTCAGCACTATCCAGTGGGGTACTAGAAACTTGAAATCTGGTATCCCACATTTGGATAATACACACATACAGCCGATATCAGGATGTGTTCGCACTGCTTGTACCCAGTTGTTGCGTGACAAGTCTGGAACAAGTTGTTATCATCTTGTTACAAGGTTGATGATGGTAACAGATTTGCTACAAGTTGTTCCAACAAGACTAATACAGGCTATTCGCAACAAGTTGCTTCAAGCTTGTTGTCATCAACTTGTTAACAACTTGTTACGTGCAGACGATATCAGACTTGTTGGAACAACTTGTTGCGAGTCTGTTGGCCTCGTCAACCTTGTTACAAGATGATAACAACTTGTTCCAGACTTATCAACAACTGGGAACAAGCAGTGCGAACATATCTTGTTGATAAGCTGTGAGATTTTTAGCGTGCTGTGTGTAGCCAATGATTCTTCTGATTCCAATGATTATTAGACGAACAATCTTTCCTTTGCTAAAGTTCGTCCCGACAGATAATCTGTTGGTAGAATATTAAGTCATGTGGTTATTCGAGTTTCATCTGTCAGATTGTAACAAATTAGCATGATTAATAATACAAATCTATTAATAAAATATAAACATTCTTTTTCTCAAACTAGCAAACACCCACCCCAAACTAGCGAACTTTTAACTCCTAACACTACCCAAACGACATAAATACCTGAGCTTCGCCAATTCCAAGTTCGATTTTCTCTAAAGACGTTTGTAAAATATCTGTCTTCACGTTGGCCTCGCCAATTGAAACGCCAAAATCTAAATTTTTCAAGATGCCCGAATGTTCATTCTTTAACGTTTCAAGACCACGTACAACGTTTTTTGTATTGCTTATTATTTCATCCTGCGAGAGCTTTCGGTTCTCGTCGTTTTTACCAGACATTATCCACAAGACATTCACTAGACTATTGTACTAGACACAGATTCGCCCCCCAAAAGCGGTCGACTTGGCTGTTAAATCTGTGCGCGATAAAGCGTTTCTGAGACAAAATTTATCGCTTTTTTCGTTCTTATAAACCAGAAGAATAATTCTACATTAAATGTTCATCCAAAGCCGGTCTAAAAAGCACAGTAAGAGATGAATATATTTCAATTTTCAATGAAAACAATTTATTTTGATTTCGGATTGACATGAATAATGAATTATAGCGGATTTGACACTAGGGTAGGGAGGGACAGCGATTTCGTCTTTCTAGTACCCAATCTCAAAATGGAGTGCCTGGATATCGTGCTCTCTGGTGAATCCAAAAATAAAGTTGGTGTCCCACAAGGGTCTAAAAATCTCAGTCACATAAAGTTGGTGTCCCACAAGGGTCTAAAGATCTCAGTCACAACTTGTCAACAAGACGTGTTCGCAACAGGCTTGTAGCAAGTTTGTCAACAAGTTGTAATAATGCTGCTATTTGATCAAGTTGCTACAAGGTTGTCACTCACAACTTGTTGACAAATTGTTGAATTGCAGGAGCATAACCAGTTGTTGGAACAATTTGTAACAAGTCTGTTGAGCTCAACAACCTTGTAGCAAGTTGTCAACAAGCCATTGACAAATTGTCCACAAACTGGGAACAAACAGCGCGAACACATCCTGTTGACAAGTTGACAACAAGCTGGGAACAAGCAGTGCGCTGTTGACATGTTGTTGGAACAACATTGCTACAATTTGTTACAATTTGTGCGTTTTTACGTGTGCATATCAGAATACACTCCTACACACATAAAAAGTCGCAAATTGTTAAAGATCTGTAAACAAGTTGTAACAAGGTTGTTGTCAAGCCGATATCAGGATGTGTTCGCACTGCTTGTTCCCAGTTGTTGTGTCAAGTCTGGAACAAATTGTTATCATCTTGTTACAAGGTCGATGGTAACAGACTTGCTACAAGTTGTCAGTCCAACCTAATACAGGCTGTTTCTAACAATTAGTTGCTACAAGCTTGCTGCCATCAATTTGTCAACAACTTGTTACGTGCAGACACACCACGTGATTGTCAGACAGTATAAAAGTAGCACAGAATCGGTATCTTTTGAGCATTTGCGGATTTGCCACCGAAAAGGAACTTTAAGGAAGGACGGCGCTGGAAATATTTTGGGAAACAATCCACCTCCCCTCGGCTGCGACACTTCCGGACCTAGCTTAGCCGCACACTACCTTAAAATTATTTATCCCCAATCTGAATTCCCTAAGTCAAAAGGTATTGTGAGGGGAAAGGAGCAGTGAGAATATTGATATTACTATTCTGGTGTCTCATATATAGTAGACAGATTTAGATCGAGGACGCGGACGTCAAAGACGACGTGAAAATGACGTGTTGTGCCCATGTATGGATATGCCACGCCATTGTGACGCCATTTTCACGTCGTCTTTGACGTCCGCGTCCTCGATCTAAATCTGTCTATTATTATATTAAGCACGATCATATATGCATATTTTAGCGTGCTTATGAGAATCCTGCGTATTCTGGTGTCTCATAAGCACGATCATATATGCATATTTTCGCGTGCTTATGAGAATCCCGTATTCTGGTGTCTCATAAGCACGATCATATATGCATATTTTCGCGTGCTTATGAGAAACCCGTATTTTGGTGTCTCATAAGCACCATCATATATGCTTGTTTTAACGTGCTTATGAGAATCCTGCGTATTCTGGTGTCTCATAAGCACGATCATATATGCATATTTTAGCGTGCTTATGAGAAGAATCCTGCGTATTCTGGTGTCTCATAAGCACGATCATATATGCTTGTATTAGCGTGCTTATGAAGAATCCTGCGTATTCTGGTGTCTCATAAGCACGCTCATATATGCATATTTTAGCGTGCTTATGAGAATCCTGCGTATTCTGGTGTCTCATAAGCACGCTCATATATGCATATTTTAGCGTGCTTATGAGAATCCCGTATTTTGGTGTCTCATAAGCACGATCATATATGCATATTTTAGCGTGCTTATGAGAATCCCGTATTTTGGTGTCTCATAAGCACGATCATATATGCTTGTATTAGCATGCTTATGAGAAGAATCCTGCGTATTCTGGTGTCTCAGAAGCACGATCATATATCACAATTTGTCAACAAGTTGCGAGTGACAATCTTGTATAGCAACTTGATAAAATAACAGCATTTTTTGTGTGTGTTTTGATGTTATGTACTCAGGTGAATATAATGTGTTTTTTTTATGTTATTCTGAGTGTATATCGACACCGGGCAGGCTGAAAAGTAAGCCTGACCACGGTGCCTGTTGCAAACACATCTTGTTGGACAAGATGTGAGATTTTGACGTGTGCATGTATCTTAATTAAGACTTTTAAGTTTCAAGACGCTGAACTTCCGGTACTGTTTTTCTTACACTTCAGTTGAAATTGTAGCTCTGGTTCAACGGGGCGATTCTTTGATTAAACCGCACCAATCACAAAACAGAATTAGTGGTTTTAGTACAGAATCTGTACTAAAACCACTAATTCTGTTTTGTGATTGGCGCGGTTTAATCTCTTCAGATTTTGATCATCATCTCGCCTTCGCCGGGCGACTAATTGTTAAATAATAAACGAATTGTCTTTTGACCGCGATATGGTCAGATGATGTCATACGAATATTGTAAAACTGTAACAACTTAACTCCCACGCGTAATATTCTGACAATGATAAGTGCATTTAAAACGCTAAAATTTTACATAAATTTCACCTGAAAATTTTACATAAATTCCACCTGTTCGACCACTTCATCATAGCAGTTAGCCTTCCAGTTCACTTATAGTTATAGTTCAATGGTTTCCGGGACGTCCAAACGTTTCCGGGAACGGAAAGTTCGAACTTTCTTGGCAAAATATTCGTTTAACGTTTTCGTTTCATATTTTCTTTCTTGCGTCGAAAGAATAATCCCACCGGGCACACGACGTTGTTTCAACGTTGAAATTTGGTAGAAAAAAGGTTGCGACGTCGACAACCTAATATCTACGTTGCTCTGACGTTGTTTTAAAAAAATTGGTTCAACAGCAGCCAACAGACGTCGAATCAACGTTCATTCATGGTTAAATGTACGACGTCGATTTGTGAAGTAATCTCAACGTTGATTCAACGTTGAATTATGGTTGACGAAATTGGCAACCTAATTTCAACGTTGTTTCAACGTCGAAACAGTAACGTCGATCCAATTTGCATTATCAATCCTTTTTCAACGTCTATCCAACGTCTGGAAGGTCATTTCCAACGTTGATTCAACGTTGAATAAACGTCATTTTGCCCGCTGGGATTATGTATTTCAGTATTTTAAAACAGCAAGTTTATTTACTCTTTATTGCCTGATCCGTTTGACGTATAAAGCGAAGCTTAAACTTT